CAGGTCACCTCGGGGGTCAGGGGTAGTCAGCAGGACTTCACTTCAAGAGGAAGATATATAATGTGCCCACCCAAAGCTGATATAATAACGCAACATTAAGGACCTCTAAAAGTTTTGTTTATCCATGGGGCTGGCATTATATACTCTATGGGTCTTCAGTTAAAAAGTAGAGAAGGGGAGAATTACTAGCTTTAATGCATAAACTTCCTTTTTAGGAAATAAAATGTTGTGAGACTAGTACTAACGCTAGTCCTAAACATTTAATTTTTTTTTCAAGATAATTGTTACCTTTCTTTCTATGTCCCAATGTTCTTTAGAAATTCAATTGTCTAAAGGATCAGACTAAAGGAAATCAAATGTATGCTGTTAACAAATTCATCTTTTATGTAGTTCAATTATTGGACATTCTGTTATACTTTCCTCTGAGTTTTGATTATAAGATTTATTGTAATACCTATATAACATTATATCCTTTAATGTGAATAGAAGGTAGTTTGGCAATGAGAGAGGTATGACATGACTCTTCAAGAAGTTCTTTTCATAGTCCATTTCAGTAAGAAACACCAGCAGCTATTTTAACTAAGCATTCACAGAGATATTTTCCCATACCCTGAATTTAAATATTCTATTATATTCTCTTGAGCCACCAGGGACTTCTGCTCTGTTCATCCATAAAAAGTTTATGCTAATCTTGCCTATTTTCTTTTTTTCTTTTTCTTTTTTGACATTTTAGCTTCCAAGCAAAGCCAACAATAATTAATATAAATTAAGAGCACTGGCATGGAAAGCTGTTTCTTATCAACCTCTCACACTGTAACTGTGCTGCGCAGAATCATAACAGATTAGCTTCAAAGTCCAGTGAAATGCTCATAAAAGAGGCCAAATATATTTGAATAACACTCAGTGAAGTCTACTGCTGTGAATGGGTCTAAAGCTGTCCATCATATAATTCCAAGAATTCAAATGTATTGCTGTAAGACTGCTTGGATACACTGACAGAGTCACATCTTACTTAGAGCTTCCGGCCTGGACATAGACTCATCTTTCTCTCAAAGTCAAGGTTATTAATAAAAGTCTTGATGTCCAATATAGTAGCCACTAATCACATATGGCTGTTGAACACCTGAAATATGGCTGGTCTAAGATGTGCTTTAAGTGTAAAGCATCTACTGGATTTTAAAGGTTTATTTTTTTAAAAATGCATATCATGTCATTGATATTTGATATTTTTAATCTTTTACCTGTTAAATTTTAAAAATTAAGTTTTAATATTAATTACATGCCAGTATAATAATTGGGATATACTGGAGTTAAATAACATTTATTATTAAAAATAATTCCAGGCTGGGAGTGGTGCCTCAAGTCTATAATCCCAGCACTTTGGGAGGCTGAGGTGAGAGGATTGCCTGAGCCCAGGGGTTCGAGATCAGAACTCGGTGAAACCTCGTCTCTACAATAAATCAAGAAAATTTAGCCAGGCATGGTGGCGCATGCCTGTAGTTCCAGCTACTTGGAAGGCTGAGGTGGAAGGATCACCTGAGCCCAGAGGTCAAGGCTGCGGTGGCCCTGAGTGTGCCACTGCACTCCAGCCTGGGTGGCATGGTGAGACTCAGAGTTAAAAAAATAATTCCACTTTTTTAATGTTTTAAGATATAGATATCTACAAAAGTTAAATACTTATATGGCTCTCATATTTCTAGGGTAGTGCTGCTCTAAGCTGTAGCCCAGTTTTGAGGTGAGCCACAAGGAAGCAGTAGAGAGCAGTGGCTATGGGTAGAGGACTTGGATCAGACACACCAAAGTTCTGTCCCCATGTCATCTATTCCTCACTAAGGGACTCTGGCACATCACTTATCTTCTTCAAATCTTAGTTTCCTCATTTATAATTTAGGAAAAATGACAGTGCTTTCCTCTTAGGGATGATGAAATCTAAACTGCTTATCTCTACATAGATAACGTTATGTTCTACATTTATTTTTTAAAGGGCACAGTTTTAAAAGTTAACTGCTATAATGGCAAAGTTAACTTAATGGTAACTGTTTCCTTAAGAAAGACACAGGCCAGGCTCGGTGGCTCAGCCTGTAATCCCACGCCTTTGGGAGGCGGAGGTGAGTGGATTGCCTGAGCCCGCGGGTTCGAGACTCGCCTGGGCAGCAAGACCTCATCTCTACAATAAATAAAAAAATCAGCTGGGCATGGTCGCGCATGCCTGTAATTCTGGCTACTTGGAATGCTGAGGCGGAAGGATCACTGGAGCCCAGCAGGTCGAGGCTGTGGTGGCCGGGAGCGGCCAGTGCACTCCAGTCTGGGTGACAGAGTGAGAGTCCAACTCAAAAAAAAAGAAAGAAAGAAAGACACAGTTAGGATGGCCTTTTCTCCCAAAAGACAGTCACACAATACATAGTTAACTCCTTGGACTTTTTGGACTGGAGAGCCACTTGGGCAGCACAAGTAATGGAAAGTGATCAGGACAAGGAGTCCAAGGGCAGGGATTCGATCCTGGTCAGCACAGCCATGCCAAGGCCTCATTAAACCTCTAAGCATCAATTTCCTCACCAGTAAAAAGGGAATGAGGGTGGTAATAACTCTCACAATAGATTGTCTTAGGATTAAATAAGGGATATGTTATAAACTTGCCTGTAAACTGGAGAGTATTACACATATTAGTTGTGATCATTATTTTAATCTACTGGATTCTAAGGCTGACCTACACTGAGAGACAGCCACTTTGCTCTGTGGTATAATAGGAAAGAGCAGAAGGCAGATGGAGGTGGTTGTACGTGGCCTTTCACTTCTCTGGGCCTCATTTTCTCTTCTTTATTCACTTTAAAGACTCATTGGAAGGGTGCCATTAAAAAAGCATATTTCAGAAAACTGCAAAGTCTTACACAAATGTAAAGCATTATTGTTGATTTGAATAATCATCAAGAATTGATGTTTACTGAAAAAGAAAAAAAATACTATGCTTTTATCCAATAACTCCTCCTACTGTGAAAAGTAACTTTTGCCAAGTTCTAAAACATATTTTCCTATATTTTTAACTCACATATACTAATCCAAGATGTTAGTAGTGATAAGATCTGAATTGACCAAGGAAGGCGAGAGTATCCATCTTTTGTTCAGGTCTCAGCAAGACGAAACTTAAAAGAATATCTGCCATCATTTTCAAGTAGAGCCTTGTATGGCATAATATTATAAGAAATGCCATTTTGTAGCCAAGCCATTATACTTGGCTTTGGCTTCTATGGAAAAAATACTCATCTACGACTTTTGAAACCTGTACTAGGTAATCCAGGTACCCCAAAAGACTTTATACAGCCATTAAGTTATTTGAGATCTAAGCAGGACATAAACAGATGCAATGTGACTTTAAAACATAGGTCCTTAGAACTTCACACAAAGAAATAAGTGCTTATAGAAGTAATTGAGTAAAATAAAAACATGACTTGTATCTATCTACAATAACTAGAGTTAATTTCCCTCATCATTTGATTTGTTATTATTTTTAAAGGGAACTTCCAAGTACTAACAGTTTTTTTTTCTGCCACAGTTTGAACACATCTCTCTTCTCATTTGGTCTTCAGCATTCTCGGTTTTTATCAAATTTTAACAATGTCATGTAACTTGAAAAATTAAGTTTATTTAGTTTTTGTTGATTTATACTTTATTTCTTTCACTTCATTTAAGTGTACTAGATTGGCATTTATTCGTTTTTGTGTATTGGTCCCTTGATTTTGTGTTCCAGCATATGGATAAAGCCATTCTCATAAAACTTCCTAAGACCTAGGACAGTACGTATCAGCTTATACTATATTTGATTATTCCATGATGAACTCACTCTGATGCTTCTGTTCAAATGAGATTAAATTACGATATGCATTAACACACACACTGGTAAGAAGAGCTAAGTGAATATGTGAAAGTCAAGGATAAACAGGGAGGTGAAGAAGATGCATGACATTGAATTACTGAAGCTACAGAGGCAATGCTGTTAGGAAGAGAATCAAAGAATGGAGTAAACAATTAGCCTTGAAGAGCAGGATTGAAGAGGTGTTCTCTTGAAAGTAAGAGGTAGAAGCCAAGTCAGTGAGTATGTGGATGGTCAAAATTCTGACAAGCACAGGTAAATAGATCATCACTCTGATTCTAGCCATTTTCATTTCATTTTAAATTTCAATTTCTGATGTTTTCTAACCTGTTTTCTTTACATTTAAAAGCTAAATTTTGTAACCATTACCACTGTTACTACTATCATTGCCAGGATCATCACCAACAAGCCTAGACTTTTTATCAGTAAAAACACAAGATGTAAAAGTACCCCTTTACCTCAGTCTTCAGTAACTCTAACCACACTATCAGCGTAGTGGGTGAAAAGTGAACACCAGTGATTATGCCTGAGAATTAGTCTTAAGAGCAAAAGTCACCACTACTAATTCCCACTCATAATTACAAGCAAGCCTCACTATGTTTCTTACCTATAATACAAACTGCAAATGTGGTTATATCATTTTTGGTCAGACCTTCAGAGAACACCGCTTTTCCCAAAGTATGCTATGGAACATTTTTCTTGGGAAATGCCCCCTCCTAGTCCCCCAAAAGACTTTGGGAAATGCTGTGCCCCACAGTCCCTTCTTGAAGATTCACAAAGCATATTAAAGCTTCTCACAGTAAAGGAACTATCTCTGCTTAACTCAGCATGTTGTAAGTTTATTTGATCATGTAACCCTTTCCCATTCTTGCCTATTCATAAATGATTGATAGACAGATTTATGAACATCTTCCAGAACTTGTATTTCCAGAAAGACATTCTGGGAAATACTCTTTCTGATTTATAACGGGGAGAACTAATTTTGATGCATATTGCATACATCCAAAGTTTGAGAACCCTAATTATTAATCTCTAGGAAAACGTAACAACAGCACAATCACATGAGTGTTGAGAAAGAAAAGGTTTCCTGGAATCATAAGGCCTCCTGGTCAATAGTAAATGTTCCACTTACTTAAGGAGATTCCCCAGATTGAAAAGAGCCCGGTTATGCTGCGGATGTAGCTGGAGTGCCTTCTGGTAGTACATCTTTGCCTCTGCTGTGTCTCTTGTCAGTGTCCCAAGGTTGTTCAGGGCACTTGCATGGCGTGGATACAATCTGAAAAGTTAAAAATATTAAGCTGTGATGTTTCAAAAGCTTCTAAGTTGGGAATAGCTAGCTGTTATTTCCCCCCAGGTATGCTGCAACCAAAATCTAACACAGAATTCTTCCTTTACTTGAATGGTTTGTGTCCAGTCTGACTGGTCAACTATTCTTGCAGTTATACACACACACACGCACGTGCACGCACACACACACACACATCAGGGAAGCACATAAATAAATACCCCCCCAAATAATGCAAGAATACACAGTATGTGACTCTGCCAGGGATAAACATATATTAGTCTTTTGGAGCCTAGGATAGCTTTCCACTTCCTGTAATAGAAAACCCTCTGATATGGTTTGGATGTTTGTCCCCTCCAAATCTCATGTTTAAATGTTGGAGGTGGGGCCCAGTGGAAGGTGTTTGGGTCACAGGGGTGGGTCCGTTGAGGGAATAAATGAGTTCTCACTCTATTAGTTCACACGAGAGTTAGTTGTTTAGAAGTGCCTGGCACAACCCTCTTTCTCTCTTGCTCCCATTCTCACCACTTTGCCTTCTGCGACAAGTTAAAGCTTCCTGAGGTCTCACCAGAATGCAGGCAGATGCCAGTGCCACGCAGAATTGTGAGCCAAATAAACCTTTTTATCTTTGTAGATTACCCAGCCTCAGGTATTTCTTTATAGCAAAGCAGATTGGACTAATTCACTCTTCTGGCCTGGTGAAGCTGCTTCCCAGTTGCCTGTACAGTGCCTGCTATTTATAGCACTTGCTAGGAGTTCCTTGGGTGAGAGGTCTTCATAAACATTTTTGAATTGGAGTATTAATAAAACTGCCATGACTGAGAAAGGATGATACATCATGTCTCTCTCTAAAAATAAGCTTTATCTCCAAAATCCTTCTCTGTCTTTATTCTCTATTTCCCGTCATCTCATTTCCCCCTCCTACTGCAATTTGGCTTTACCTGCCCTGATATAGTTCTCAAAATGAAAATCCCAAGAACTTAGAACACTTGAAAATCAAAAATTAAATAATGCACAATGAAGTGAAAAACAGCATTCCCAATGATCAAAAGCAAATCTAAAGGAGGACAGAGTACCATTGCTGAGCCAAATCTATGCTGATTAAGGTAGGAAAGAAATCCATTTTTTTTCTTAACTCAAAACTATAAAGAAGCCACATCAGCACGGCTACATCATTTAGTTGTTTCTGATATATTTAGAGTGGACATATTTAGCAGTCTAATAGGTTTGCTCCATCTCTGTCTCCCAGAGTACTTTGAATAAGTCTGTGGAGCCGGCTTTTAATATAGAAATGCCAGGATAATGCCAAGTAATAAAAACAGGATCTGTACTTGTCAAGTCTCTTGACAATCACACACCATACGTATCCCCTGTTCTGTACCTTCTAAGAAGATCAGTTTAGTTCTGGGACACAAACAGTTCCTATTAAAAGGACAAGAAAGACAAGTTGCACAGCTGTTTTTTAAAAAAAATCTTATTTCAAACCAGAGTTTAAGTTTATTTGACCCTTTCCTACTCCCTTACAGATCGGCTATGAACATCCTTCAGAACTCATATTTCCAGGAGTACACTCTGTAATGCGCCTCTTGACTGACAAGGGATAGAATCAATTCAAATGAATATTACATCCTCCCAAAGCTTGAAGCCCTAATTATTCACAGCAGATTTGAAGACTGTTAGGAGAGATATACTTAAAGGAAGCTGGACAGAAGAAAACACAGAGTCAGCACATGTGCTATTGTTTACTTCTCTCTGATCCCCTTTAATTAGCACAACTTAAGGGTTCTTGATAGCAGCCCCTAAAACCCAACCTCATAGCTCCTGGGAGAAAAGTGCTTGGTGCTCTCTCTAAGATGCCATTAGAGGGTATGGCAGCTATGGTGAGAGGCAAAAAATATTCTTGTACTTGTCCATTCACTCCATGACCAGAAAAGTGTCCTGGGCTGCCTGTGTCTAAGAATTACTTTGGAAGTGGCTGCATGGCACATCACAGACAGGACTCGAATTCTTCTAGAGAAGCTTTTATTTGTGATGTTAAGCAAAGATCTCTGACCTCCAAAGATTTATGGAGAGTCCAATGAACAAGGTCAGGGCAATTCCTGTGCTGTTTCCATTATGACAAGAAGTAACAGAAAACATACTTGGGACATGTGCCTTTCTTAATCTCAGTGGAGGAATGTCTTACAACTTATGGTTTCCATATTTCTTTAGGCTGTGGAGTCCTCAAAATAAACGTCTGAGGTGAAAACACTAAAGAAAAGGCAGTCTTTTCATTAATATCTCCCACAATGGGCTCACTTATGTAAGGTGCCTGTCTGCTCTGAAAGCATGGGAGTCCTCTCCAGCTCGTTTTCAGCCACCTTCATGAACTTTACATCACTCTGGACACACTGCTATTTCAATGAACAGTCATGTATTTCAAAGGTCACTGACTATAGAAGTGACTTTCTCTCTTTTTCAAATCAGAAACAGAATACACGTTCACCCTGGACTCTCAAAAACAAACAAGCAAACCAAAAACGTTGAGAAGGAAAGTAAAGAGAAACAAATAGAAAAACCATGAGAGAAAAGACCGTTATGAACCTTGTGCTCTAAGAACCAGTCAGTAGCTGCAGAAACACGATTTTCAGGAGGAAAAGACTTCAGGGTGGGTTATAGTCAGGGAAGAAGTTCCTTGTTAACAAAGCCGCACCTCGTCAAGGAAGGGGATTGCTGATATCAACAGTGACTTGCTGATTCTGCCACAAAGCAGTCCTCCACCTGGAAAATGTGTAGATACTGCATATTCTTGCTAATAGTAAGGGTCTGCTAGCAATATCCTTTCTCTCACTGCGTATCTGATTAGGTTCACTTAGTCACAAGCAAGCATTGCATTATTTATGAAACAAAGCTGAATTTCATTAAAAGGATTCTTAACAACCAGGTCAGGAAAAATATCTTTAAAAAATTATATAAATTGAAATATCTTAAAACATATACTCTCCTATTTGCTACAGACCTATGCAAGGACAAAATTTATTTTGTGTTTACTTTTAAAAAACACTTATGTATGAATTAGCTTGGAACTAATTCAATCCTGAGGTCTTTAGGAGGGAAATTTTCTATTGGAAAAAATGAATAATTTAAGAGATGTCTATGTTGCTGCATCAATTGTCAGAATAAATTAAGTCCATCTTGACTTTGACTTCTACAGGTATGTTTTACAAACATTCTGTTGGGATTATTCCCTTCCTCATCCAAAAAATCTCAACAAAAATTTCACTGAGCAGGAGCAGAGTAGTGATTTTTCAAGCCTGTTTTTTCAACCTTTTTTTTCTCTTTTTTTAAAGAAAAGGGTCTCACTCACTCTGTCACCCAGGCTGGAGTGCAATGGCATGATCACAGCTCACCGCAGCTTCAACCTCCTGGACTCAGGCAATCCTTCTGCCTCAGCATCCAAATTAGCTGGGACTATAGGAACACGCCACCACACCTGGCTAATTTTTTAAATTTTTTTGTAGAGATGAAGTCTCACTTTATTGCCTAGACTGGTCTTGAATTCCTAGGGCTCAGGCAATCCTCCTACCTTAGCCTCCCAAAGTGCTGGCATTAAAGGTGTGAGCCATCATGTCCAGCCCAGACTTGTTTTTAAGAACAGTCACTGTATTTTCTTTCTCATAGTATTTTTCAACATTTTTATTGTTTATGGGGAATCTCTTTTCAAAAATTTGTTCTAGAGAAAAATGTATTATACTGGGGATGCCAAAAAACTGTATATACAGTATAAGAGACATTAAGAGATGTTTGCTGTAATCAGAAGTGTCTGGATCCTGTGAGCACCTCTTGTAATTGCAAGTCAAATGTGACTTGTATTCATCTGTTGTTATCGGTATATATTGAGTATAACAATTTTAATACAGTTTTTTCCTTTCTTAAAATGTATACATTTTTTTGGCACCCTCTGTATTACCAAATAGATCTGGGGCACAAGGGAGCTTTTTTTTTTTAAATCTTTAAAAAAGAAATCTAGGTATAGAGATGTGGTTATATGAGCCAAAGATAATTTTTCCCCAAGTTATTAGATAGTTTAGATTATTGATAAACATAACATCCACCAAGCACTTTAGGGGTTCTTCATTTTTATCTGTGGCATTTCCTTAAGCTGAATTAATAAAGGTAGTCGACATTATTCCTCTCCATTCCCAGTCATTGTATTTCTGAAGAATGTACATCAACAACATGTTAACAGGAGAAAGTCACTGAGAAGGAACAATTGCCTAAGCAAAAATGAAAGGCAGAGATAAAAGAAAATGTGTTCCAAAGGACCTAGGATATGTTAATGGTACTTTGCATTTTAAACTGCTTTCTCAGTGTCTCAACCTTCAAAATTTCTTCAGTAGGATTACTGTACTATTGAAGGCAGAGAGGCTGGGAGAAACTAAGTAGATAACAGATTACTTTAAAATGACATCTCAGGAGTACTTTTGTTCTTAAGAGTTAAGAAGGCAGATTGTTACTATGAATCTATGTTTCCAAACATCATTTGTCATTCGGCCTTCAGCAAATATACTGCTACAAGTTAGAACTTCCATTTGGAATAATTTATTGTTTTTGTTTCTTTGGCTAACTCATTCAACTATGATCTTATAGGGACGAATTTTCAATGGCAGAAGTGAAATAAACTCAATACCCAGAAAGCTTGGCTACTGAGATGCTTATTTAGTGGAAAAATTTGCCTTCTGTCATACAAAATAATCAAAGCATCTCTGAAAAGCACATTATATGGAAAGCTATTTAGGACAAACAATTCTCAGTAAGTGTATAAGAGTACACGCGTGCTCTCTGATCTACACTTAAGTTTAACCTCAACGAAAGATCCATAGACATAAGCTGTATATGAATAAAGTCTGGTTTTATGCTTTATTCCAGTCATTTATTTTAAATATTGTCCAATCTGTTCAAAAGTTAAGGATGCTGTTAATTTTTCATCGTCTGTACCTTATAAGGCATTT